TTGTGTCCTCCCACCACGAAGATGAAGCCCAGCATCACACCCACGCCAAAGTTGATGCGTTTATCCGCCATCGGTGCCACCATATCCCAGGAGTCTTTGCTGGGGTCGTACCTCTCCACACTGAAACACACACACACACACTTAAACAGTGTCTCCTGGAAATAAGCTCACAGTCCCGGTGCGTGTTCTCCTTACAGTGACGTAACTCGCGGCTGAACTATCACAGTGTGATGCATGGTTTGGGAAAGAGCGATGTAGTGACGAGTGTTTCCCAAAACCCCCAGTTTCTCTGTAGCAGATCCATCGCTTGAACCCCTTTAGTTATAGTGTAAAACACCCATCATGATGCTCTCAACAGAAGAGGTTAGAGAAGAACCCCAAACTTTATTTGTGCAGATTATATTGTTTTACACGCATTTAAAAACAAATCCAATATCAGCTTTAATAAAAACATGCACTCAGTCTCCATATTAAATGAAATATACAGTTGAAGTCAGAATTATTAGCCCCCTTAATTATTAGACCGCTTGTTTATTTTTTCCCTAATGTCTGTTTAATGGAGAGCAGATTCCTCCAGCACATTTCTAATCATAATAGTGTTAATAACTCATCTCTAATAACTGATTTATTTCCTCTCTGTCATGATGACAGTAAATAATATTAGACTAGATATTCTTCAAGACACTTCTATACAGCTTAAAGTGACATTTAAAGGCTTCACTAGGGTAATTAGGGTAATTAGGCAAGTTATTGTATAATGATGGTTTGTTCTGGAGACTATCAGAAACAAAAATAGCTTAAAAGGGCTGATAATATTGACTAATGGTGTTAGACAGAGAAAGGGGAAGGATCGGCATAGGACCCCAAAGCGGGACACAAACTCAGGTCGCCCCCTGCTGGCCTCACTCACACCACTGCCAACAGTAACCAGAAGAACTGAACTGGAAGAATTAGATTGATTACAGGTTCTGAATGTCGATTTCAATTACTTTTCGATTAATCGCCAAGCCACATACACACGAATAATAAAGCCAGAATTTCTGTGTGTGTGTGTGTGTGTGTGTGTGTGTGTGTGTGTGTGTGTGTGTAGCGTTAGAGCAAGAATAACTCAAATAAAGTGGCGAAATCATATTATTGACTGCTGAGAGCAAGAGTGTGTGTTTTCCACTTCACACACGCGTTTATAGCGAAGCACATCCCAGGAGAGACACGACACTCATGGAAACTCAAACACAACAGCAGAGCCTTCCCATGAGCCTCCTCACACACACACACACACAATAACACACGCGCACACGCGCACACACACGCGCACACACACACACACACACACGCGCACACACACGCACACACACACGCACACACAAACCCTGACTCTTATCAGATAAATGAGTTTTCCTCCAGAATGCATCAAATAAATAATATTTTCCTCCAGAATGCATCATATAAACAATATTTTCCTCCATAATGCATCAAATAAACAATATTTTCCTCCAGAATGCATCAAATAAACAATATTTTCCTCCAGAATGCATCAAATAAATAAGATTTTCCTCCAGAATGCATCAAATAAACAATATTTTCCTCCATAATGCATCAAATAAACAATATTTTCCTCCAGAATGCATCAAATAAATAATATTTTCCTCCAGAATGCATCAAATAAACAATATTTTCCTCCAGAATGCATCAAATAAACAATATTTTCCTCCAGAATGCATCAAATAAACAATATTTTCCTCCAGAATGCATCAAATAAACAATATTTTCCTCCAGAATGCATCAAATAAATAATATTTTCCTCCAGAATGCATCAAATAAACAATATTTTCCTCCAGAATGCATCAAATAAACAATATTTTCCTCCAGAATGCATCAAATAAACAATATTTTCCTCCAGAATGCATCAAATAAACAATATTTTCCTCCAGAATGCATCAAATAAATAATATTTTCCTCCAGAATGCATCAAATAAATAATATTTTCCTCCAGAATGCATCATATAAACAATATTTTCCTCCAGAATGCATCAAATAAACAATATTTTCCTCCAGAATGCATCAAATAAACAATATTTTCCTCCAGAATGCATCAAATAAATAATATTTTCCTCCAGAATGCATCAAATAAATAATATTTTCCTCCAGAATGCATCAAATAAATAATATTTTCCTCCAGAATGCATCAAATAAACAATATTTTCCTCCAGAATGCATCAAATAAACAATATTTTCCTCCAGAATTCATCAAATAAACAATATTTTCCTCCAGAATGCATCAAATAAATAATATTTTCCTCCAGAATGCATCATATAAACAATATTTTCCTCCAGAATGCATCAAATAAACAATATTTTCCTCCAGAATGCATCAAATAAACAATATTTTCCTCCAGAATGCATCAAATAAATAATATTTTCCTCCAGAATGCATCAAATAAACAATATTTTCCTCCAGAATGCATCAAATAAATAATATTTTCCTCCAGAATGCATCAAATAAACAATATTTTCCTCCAGAATGCATCAAATAAATAATATTTTCCTCCAGAATGCATCAAATAAACAATATTTTCCTCCAGAATGCATCAAATAAATAAGATTTTCCTCCAGAATGCATCAAATAAACAATATTTTCCTCCAGAATGCATCAAATAAACAATATTTTCCTCCAGAATGCATCAAATAAATAATATTTTCCTCCAGAATGCATCATATAAACAATATTTTCCTCCAGAATGCATCAAATAAACAATATTTTCCTCCAGAATGCATCAAATAAACAATATTTTCCTCCAGAATGCATCAAATAAACAATATTTTCCTCCAGAATGCATCAAATAAATAATATTTTCCTCCAGAATGCATCAAATAAATAATATTTTCCTCCAGAATGCATCAAATAAACAATATTTTCCTCCAGAATGCATCAAATAAACAATATTTTCCTCCAGAATGCATCAAATAAACAATATTTTCCTCCAGAATGCATCAAATAAACAATATTTTCCTCCAGAATGCATCAAATTAATAAGGTTTGTGCACCTGTTCATGTGTGCGGGTCCGTATCCGCCGATGGCGTAGATCATGCCGTCCAGCACGGCGGTGGCGAAGCAGCTGCGTGATTTGGTCATGGGGGCGACAGGCTGCCACTCCTTCAGCTTGGGCAGGTATTTCTCCACAGACTGCAGGTAATACTGTCCGTCGTATCCACCCAGCGCGTACAGTTCTCCGGCCAGCACCACCACCCCCAGTGTGCTGCGCGACTCGGCCATGCGGCGCTCCGAGCTCCAGGTGTTGGTGTCGGGGTGCCAGCGCTCCACACTGCTCTCGTGTCGCCGGTAGCTGATTCCCTGCCGCATGTGTGTGGCAATACCCCCCAGCACATACACCTGCTGCTCCAGCACTGCCACCCCAAACTCATACCGCGGTACAGGCAGAGGAGCCAGACCCAACCACGAGTCCGTCTGCGGGAAGTACATCTCCATACTGAAACACACACAAACCTGTATAAGTTTATGCATTATATTTGAGTGTGTGTGTGTGTGTGTGTGTGTGTTCACCTCTCCAGTGTGGCGAACAGTCCTGCTTTCCCCCCCACAGCGAGCAGTACTTTGGGAGCGCAGCGGGGCCGTGTGGACAGGACGGTCTGGTAGGAGAGCCGGTGTTCAGGCATGAAGTGGTACTTGAGCGCCTCGTTGAGCAGGTGTTTGCAGGCGTGGTCGTCCCGGATCAGGTGATTGGCCTCGTAGAGTCGCGTCAGGAACTTGACGCTCAGCAACGGCAGCCGGACGCAGTGCAGGAGCTGAGCCAGGTGCTGCTGCCGCTCCGACACGTCGTACTTTATCCAGGACTCCAGCGCGTAGAAGACGCTCTCCTCCGTCAGCACGTTCAGGCAGTCGTTCGACACGATGTCGTCCAGCTCGGCGCGCGTCAGCTCGAAGAACTCCTCCGTCTGGCACACCTGAGGAATGATGCACAGCGGGATATTCTGAATGAATCTTCATTTTGTAATATAAATAGTAATGCTCAGCAAAGACTATTCACATTGATATCTAAATCTAAATAATCATTTTCTGACATATATGCATGCATGTTTTTATTTATATATACACATAATGACTGTACACACACACACACACACACACACACATTTATTTAGTCAAAATATTCTTTATTTTGGTTGTGTTAAATCACAATTAATCTTCGCTCAGCACTAAAAATAATGCGCTCATACTGACATTTCAATACATTCCAAAAGCTGATGATGAATGGGAGGGGCTACAGGTGAAGGGGAGGGGTCACTGATGAATTGTAGGACCAGAGGATGAAGAAAATGAGCTGATGATGAAGGGGAGGAGCTGATAAAGGGGAGGGACTACAGATGAAGAGTAGGAGCTACAGACGAAGGAGAGGGGAGATGATGAAGAGGAGGAGCTGAAAATGAAGTTGAGGCGTTGCTGTTGAAGAGGAGGGGCTGATAATGAAGGGGAGGAGCTGAAAACAAAGAGGAGGAGTACTGGTGAAGGGGAGGAGCTATTAATAAAGATGAGCTGAAATCAATGAGGGGTAGTTACTAGTGAAGGGGAGGAGCTGTTAATGGAGGGGAGGAGCTGAAAACAAAGAGGAGGAGTACTTGTGAAGGGGAGGCGCTATTAATAAAGATAAGCTGAAATCAATGAGGGGCAGTTTCTGGTGAAGGGGAGGAGCTGTTAATGGAGGGGAGGAGCTGAAAATGAAGAGAAGGAGTTAAAAATGAAGGGGAGGGGCTGTTAATGAAGGGGAGGAGCTGTTAATGAAGGGGAG